AAATCTTAATAGAGTTTGGGTTGTTTCTAATTTGGGGCTATTATAAATAAAGACACTATGAACATTCATGTACAAGTCTAAGTATGAACATATGCTTTCATTATCGCGGGTAAATTACTAGGAGTAAAATGACTGGGTAATATCATAGGTATTTTTTAAGAATCTGCCAAATTCTTTCCCAAACAGTTTGTACCATCTTACATTCTTACCAGCAGTGTATGAGAGTTCCAGTTCCTCCACATCTTAGTATGGTGGTATTTGCAATTTTGGTCGTATTAATATGTGTGTAGTAGTTACCTCATTATGGTTTTAATCTGCATTTCCTTAATGACTACTGATGTTGAGCATCTTTTCATATGCTTTCTTGCCACTTGTTTATCTTCTTTGGTCAACTGTATGTTCGAGTCTTTGGCCCATTTTTTATTGGGTTGTTTTCTTACTGTGTTTTGAGAATTCTTTATTCAATCTGCATAGAAGTCCTTTATCAAATATGTGATTTGCAAATATTTTTTTCCAAGTCTCTCTTTTCATTCTCTTAACAGTGTCTTTGAAAAGCCGAAGTTCTTAATTTGATTAAGTACTATTTACCAATTTGTTCTTTTACAGGTCATGTTTTGGTGTTATTAAAAACTGTCTAAATGCAAAATCATAAAGCCTTCCTATATTTTCTCCCAGACGTTCTATAGTTTCAGGTATTGTGTTTAGGTCTATGAGCCATTTCTCTGATATTCTGCCCTGCAAAATCTACCTACCTGTCTTTCCTAAACTCCCTCTTCCATCTCTCAACTCACAGAGAACAGGCACTTCCGGGGTCTCCCCTCCCTACACCATGGTCTTGAAACTCTCCAGGCAGAAGTCTGGAGCAATTACTGGGCTCACCTGGTGGTTTCCCATCTTTCAGGACTCACTGTACCTTGTTGCCTTGTGTCCAGCGTCTTAGGTTCCAGTTATATTTTGTCTAGTTCTTTAAGTGTTTCAGGCAGGAAAGCAAATCCATCTTCTGTCTCTCCAACCTGACCAAGAGCAGAAATCCTAGAACTCTTGTATTTTAACGAAATTGCCTTTCTTTAATGACGAAAAAGTAGGAGCTTGCCACTCATAATTAGAATTTGTCACCAGATTCCTCTAAGCTTTGTTCTTTTCCTATAAATCCCCTGAGGCCTGTGAAAATTATGGATATTTCTGCATTCCTCCCACTAGTCAACATAAAAACGGGTATTAAAAAAAAAATCTTTTCTGTCCTTTCATGATGGTATTTTTCCTAACTAGAGCTATTCTAAATTTATCATTAAATAAATCCCAACAAACCCTACCTAGACCCCACAAGATGGGAAGCTAATCTCTTAAAGCCTTGTATAAGACTCACTGAGTGGGCTCCAGCAGTCTCTGAAATGAATCATTGTATCACTTCACTTAAGGCCACCTTAATATGAAACAAAATATGATGTCATTATAGTTATCTTAAGTTATAATGTTTACTACCCCGGATTATATAGTGTGTACCTGAGAATACTAGCAAGCAATGTCTTGAGATTTTAACCTACATTATCAGTCTAACCATCGTCATAAACTTTGCTATCTGGAAGGAAGGCAGATGGAAAAATTAGCAAAGAAAAGAGAAAGGAGTTAACATGTGCCAGAATAATCCATCCACTGTCCAGAGACCACCCTCAGATCATTTAGCAAACTCTTAACAGAAGAGCTAATCATTCTAGGATTTCTACATCCTGGGTGGGGTTGGGAATTCTCCAATATGCAGGTGGCCTCATCTCTTGGAGAATGAGAGCTGTCACACACGGACAGGATCTTGTTCTCCTGCATGTGCCAGTCAGGGACAGGGCTTGTCACAGGGCAAGCACCTCTCTGATGAGTACCAGGCATTTTCCTCCTTTATTCCTTGTGGTTAGTCCTTGCAGTCAGCTGAACTAGACACGGGGTTAGGGAATGGTGTTTTAGCTGAGTCATGAAGAAAGGCCCACAGGAGATGTAACTATAGAAACACTAGAAAAATATATGAGCCTGGAGGTGTTGCCCGTATGGCCCAAGCCTGGAAGGTCAAGTAAGCTACAAATTCTTTATTTAATGGGATAGAGACAGTCTTTCCATGCTATTAGTCCTAAAAGCTTGAAGTGAATAATTAGGGAAAGAGAAAGAGGGAAGGAAAGAAAGAGGAAGAGAGGAAGAAATAGGGAAAGGGTAGGAGGGAGGGAAAAGAAGATGGGAGGAGCTCAAGGGAATTCTCTTCTGGCCAAAATAAGTGATAAAATTTTGTGCCCTGCTTTGAAGAAGAGGGCCCAAGAAATTCTCTCAGCTCTTAGTTTTCTTCACTTTTTAGCCAATAGTTGTTTCTACAGTATCTTACTAAGTGGAAGTGGTATGGGGGTAAAGACAAGGTTAGCGGCACTGACCACCCCTCATGTCATGCATCAGGTCCACCTGGAGAAGTGGTGGAAGTCTGGGGGGAGCCTCAGGTGCTTCCCCAAACTTTGAAGACCCTTTTCAGAAAACTAATACCCACAGCCCAGAGGGGGAAAATATTTTAAAATTAAAAAATAATTAAAAAATAATAGAGAACAGAAGGTAAAATATTAAAACTATAAATGGATAATTTATAGAAGTTTAGCAAAAATAAAAGTCAACAAAAAACATTTAAGAGATGCCATTTATAATAAATAGAAGAAATGTGAAAAAGGATAATATGCAGATGCAAAGCAAACTGATAAAGGGAGCTATACTGTGAGTACCACGAGACTGGATATTGTGTTGGTCTTGTTTACAGCATGGATCCCAGGACACTGTCAGGTCTCAGTAAATAGTTACTGAACAAATAAATAAACATTAATTTTTGAACTGTAATTAAAGCCATTTTTTTCTTTGAAAGGAGAAAAAAGAATTTGAGCTAAGAATATGGATATGGAAAGTCAAAGGAAAAGGAGGGTTTGCCGCAAGAGGGACAATGGGAAGAAAGGAGAGGGAGGGTGAGCGGGTTTCTAACCAAATTCCTTGGGGATACTGCCTGCTTTGAATCCTGACTCTAACACTTGCACTTTGTGTCCTGGAGCGAGGACCTCTCCAAAGGAGCTACCAGAGCTACAGAGTGGAGACAGAAATGCGTTCCTCATAGAGTTGTGGTGAAGATTACAAATGGTAACAAAGGAAGAGAGTTTAAGCCAATGCTAGCATGTAGGAAAAGTTTGCAAAGAGTAATGAGTATTTTAGGATTGCACACCCCATCCTCACATCCAGGCCCACAGAAGGCCTTTAATAACAGAAAGTCACAGAGAAGCTTAGCTTTTCGTATAGTTAGCCCAATATATCGTGCTCTGTCAGCAATGGACTCCCTCCCCTCAGTGCTCCAGCAGCCACCAGCAGCCAGGAGCACAGGGAGGTGGCCCATTTGCTGTCTAACTTAAACCTTTCTTGAGATCTTCAGGTCAAATCAGACATTGCTCATATTGTCATTCAGAACTGTTCTTAGGGACTGAACTATCAGACAACCACTAGCCAACACTAGTGCATCCATTGGGGATCTATTCTAGGGAACACTGGGTGTTATTAGGTATTATTGTTTCCATCTGTTAAACAAGAAAGTGTGTAGAACTAGTACCTCTATTGAAGCTCTTCTGCTTCTTCCCTCATTGACCTATTAGCTGTCAAATTCATTAAAACTACCATGGGTCTTCCTCTGATTCTCAATCCAGGACATACTTTATAGTTTACTTGGAGATCTTTTAAAAAACACCATGCCCGAGCCATCCCCTTCCTGGTTGACTATGATGCACAGCAATGGAAAAGAACAAAAACCAAAAAACTCAACACTGCTAGCCATGTCATTTTCACCTGTATCCTTTCACTTATTATGATGCTGTAGAAACAATCAACTGTGGGTTAATAAAGAAAATGCAGAATTCACAGGCCCTGAGTAAGAGCCTGAGCCCTCTCCTTCAAAGCCAAGTAGGACATTCTCTTAATTACTTTGGCCGGAAGATTTTTCTCCTTCCTTCCTTCCTCTGCCTTCTTTCCCCACCTCCCCCTTCCCTCTTATTCTTTCTTTTTAACTGTCCTCTTCTGGCTTCACAAACTGAGACTATGGGAAGATTGTCTTTGTCATATTACATGAAGTTTGTAGTTCAGACATACTCCTCTCTGTAATGGACGTTCTGGTCTCCCTCTCCTTTGGCACAAACCTTGGCTTGTCTTCTGTCAAACATGTCTTCTGTCTGGAAACATGCTTCTGCCCCCACTTGTAATGTCAGGGCACTTGGGTCAGGCCCAAACTAATTCACAGACCCTTGCTGAAGTCACTGGTTCACAGGCAGGGAAGTAGCACAGTATGAGCAAATGCAGCCTCAGGAGAAAGGCTTCTTTTCTCTTCTGAGTGCCCTTCTGGAAGTGACCCTAAGCCCATCCCCGGACTCAGTAGCTCTGGGAGTTGAAACCGTCTCATGATCCCATGGGGCAGCCTGCTGTAGAATGCAGTGGACGCCAGAGAAAGCAGAAATGAAAGATGCAAAGGATCAGGGTCTTTGTGAAAACTCTGCATCACTGAATCAGCTGAAAACTATTGAACTTCTGGTAGTTCAGTGAGCCAGTCAATTCCCTTTAGCGTTTAAGCCGGTTTGAATGGGGTTTTCCATTATCAGTAACCAGATACATCTTGAAAGATCTGTCACAAATTTTAAAAGGAAGGGAATGCTTGGTTTTGAGTTGAATTACACTTGAAAAAGCTAGCCGAGTGCTGAAAACAATACATTCGAACTTTAAATACTTTTTGCTATCATATTTAGCAGCTACTACCTTACTAAGAACTGCTATCCAGTTGCAGGTTGTTCTGCAAGAAATGTGGCAAGCTGTGTCCGTCATTTTATCTTGTAATTACGGTGGTGGTGGGGGGGGGGAACTTCAGTATCCTGTGATTGTTATTGCATTCTATACTATGGGATTAATACCAGACGAACAAGAAAGATACTATTCAGCCAAGAAAACATACAGTAAAACAATGTATATAACAGCGCATTGGTTTTATTGATGGCAGAAGAAAAGATTCTCTTTCACTTGCAGAAGGTACTTGCTCAGTTAACTTAGTATTTTTTTCCCCATTCTTTTTGGGGGCTGGATTGTTTCCCCTCTAAAATCTGCTTTTCCATTCTCCAATAATAATATTCATCATGGCTGCACCTTATTCTGAAGGGGAAGTAGGAAGTCTATCAACAGGTCTTGAGCAGGATGTTTCAGTCAATGGCTCCTTTCTTCACAAAGACTCTATTTAAAAAGAGAGGAGAAAAGTGAGATTGGATCCTCAAATTGACTTTTCTGTACTCAAGATACACTTCTGCTGAAACATATGTACCTGTGAAGTGCTTGTATAAATGGTAATAGATCCCAAGTAGAATAAATTGCACACTGTTGTCTAATTTATAAACATAATTTCTATAAATCAGAATATAAACAAAAAGCAAAATGAAAATAATTTTTCTTTCCGAAATTCTTAGAGTACATCTCTGTCATTGTGAGCCCCATTACTGCTGGCATGTCAATTTCGGGAATTTGGATTAACTAAATGGTATTTAACAGAGGATGACCTGGAAAAGATGCAGTCTGCCAATGGGCCACTTCCACCCCCATCCCACCCACCTCCAATTTCCCCCTGGATTGGTTCTGGCCGCACAGGTAATTCACATGAGTCTGTGACCTGCTCCTGCCTGCTCCCAACATTTGCCGGCATGGCTCCAGTAGAAGTACTTTGGGGGGTGACCACAGACAGAGCTGAGAGAAGTGGAGAGAGAAGCCTGTGTGCCAGAGCCCTGTTCCAGCCAAAAAGAGTGCACTGGGCCAGCAATGGCACAGCGCCCCCACTGCGTATCAGCAGCTCCTACCTCTTCAAAGCTAATAGTCTCCTGGCCAGAAAATGAAGAGCTTCAGGTAGTGTTATCCTCACATGAAGCCTATCTAGCCTGCGGGCACCAGAGGGTTCTGCAACAGCTATATTTATAGCAGTCATTTCCTTGACCTTGATTTCAAATGTTTTACAAAGAGACGCTGGACCAGATTGTTAAAAAAAAAAAAAAAAAAGACATTAAAAAATGTATCTTTTTTTTTAAAACCAGCTGAAAATGCTGCTAAAGCCTGTATTTTAGAAAATAAAATCATGACATTTATGTAGTAGTTGATGCTTAGCTCTTGGCTTCAAGGTTTCTGGTTGATATGTGAAATTGCGAGGGCTGTTCTTTCATCAAACAAGAAACTAGAAGTGAATCCTCAGAGTGACTCAACATTCATTAAACTGTTTTCCGTGTGGAGTCTTAACTTTGGTGGTCCTAGGGGCCTCCAGAGTTTCCCCACACAGGTCATTTCTGTCTGTTCACAGCAGGATGTGGCACTCTAACCATGCCTCGACTGACTACTGCAAGAGCTTCTTAGCTTCTTCCCCTCCTGGTGCTGTAATCCAATATCTGACAGCAATACTGCCTAAGCTTAAGTTTGGTCGTATTAGTCTAATTTGAAGTTCATTGCCACCAATACAGCTAAAGCTACACTCTTGTGTCACCACCAATACATATGCCGAACATCTGCTGAAACTGTGAACTCTGCTTCTTCCCCTCTTTAAGCGTTCCTTGGCCTTTAGAATGTCTTCAGGGGACTCTACTCCACCACGAAAATGAAGCTTCCAATTTATTTCTGAGACCTGCCCCTACTAATTGGTATCCAATTTCCAGGACTCCAGTCATGTCAGAAACCTCTTCAAATGCACATAGTTTTGGCCAGTTTCACGGATTAAAGAACTATGTATATTTCTTCTATCCATAGCTACTCATATTTATGAGTTATCTGGGATGATTATGACAAGTCCAGGAACTAGAAGTTTGGAGTTTGGGCCCTCATTCCCCTCATGGCTCAGATCTGACTTACCACCACTTTGTCTCAGACCTGGGCCCATTTCCCCACATTGCTCCTCAACACCTCCTTCTCTCACCCATCCTGGACTCCGAGGCATCTCCTGCTTTTGCTAGTCATTAATGTTGTGCTTAGTACCAAGTAGAATCCAGATTCCTCTCCACTTTGGGTGAAGTATACATGCACATGCAAGGAGGTGGTGTTGGGATAAAGGGCTTGTAAAGAAAACTTTTTAGGACAATCAAAGAATGTGTAAATTACACACCAAAAACTTTATCGAAATATACTAATTTAAGAAACATTTACTGAACAGGTGCTATGTGTCATTCATCATCTAGAAAAGTACCCAAAACATTATAAAAAAAAAAGTATGACTATGAAATTAGGGTTTTTAAGTGAGAACAGAAAGTGCCTTAAGTATTTCTTATATTGAATAATTTTAGATAACAAAACCTGAGAAAAATTTCAGCATATATTAGAATTCATACTTATATTTGCTGGGAAGTTAAATGGCAGGCTACAATGTGTATCTTTTTAAACACTTAAGTTAATGGAAACTAGGAATGAGGAAACAAAAAATCTTTCCTCTCAAGAATAACATATTTTCAAGAACAAAAGGTATAATTCTTATTATTGGTGAACCTCCCATTCAAAGGTAGTATATCAAAAAGAAAATTCTACTTCATAATCTTTCATATTTAAATTAAAATTTAAAAATTACTAATTTTTTCAACCAAGAGCACATGTGTTTTGCTTATTTATTTATTTTTCAGAGTAAATTAATTTTCTTATCAATGTCAGGAATCCAAAATCTCTGTCACACATTTCCCACATCAACAGTACAATTCAAAGCAAGCAAGCGTTTTGACTTAGGGAACAGAGAAAACCACTAACATTGTGATGTTTCAGTTGATTGGAAGTAGCCTGCATCATACTATTTGGTATTGACGAGCTATAATTACCATGGAGCTATGGTTTCTGATTTACTTTAAGCAGTATGTTCTTTTTCAGAGGATATTTTCTGTGGAAGCCTAATCTAGAAAACATATGAAAGAAACTGAAGAAGGGCTGAGAGGATGGGAGTTCCAGCCTTCTGGCTGCAGCCTTACCCACCCTCACGACTGCCTTTCTACTTCCAGCCCTGCCAGGCCCTATCCACCTTCTACCCTGCAGCCTCGGGATATCGCTGGAAAGTCCTAGTCCTGCATCCACTGATAAGCAACCTAGGGCAATCAGGGAGTTGAGAACCTTTGGCTTTATTTTAAAACATTGGTTTAACCAATTTAGCAGCCCTCAGGAAGCTATGAGGGAATTTCCAGTTTTCATTCACCTTAATTTTAAGCACCCTGAACTTATGCTCAACGTGGATGTTCAATCTCACACAATGTAAAGTTGTGGAAGTCCTTATATAAACTTGGAGTCTGCTCTGGTCAGTGCTTGCTACGGAAAAAAGCCCAACGTCATGAAGCAGTCCTTCTGTGATAATTTGGACGGTAGGTCCCGGGTGTTTACTCAGTGGCCTTGTATTAAACACGAAGAAAAGCCAATGATAAGACAAAGAAGATGCCACTCTGGCCCACTGGGGTAAATCAGAATTCAGATAGCGTGGGACTTCCGCTCCAGGCAGACTACTTCATAAGGAGCTAATGACTAGATAGAAGAAAACATTCCTTCACTAAGATGACAGAGCTAATTTGTAACCAGTGAACGAGCTTTGGGAAAGCTGAAGGAGATCTAAGACTCCGGGACAGTGCTGCCTAGCACAAATACAATGTGAGACTCATGTGCGATTTTAAGTTTTCCATTAGTCACATTTAAAAAAGTACAAATAGGTGAAGTTAACGTTAGTAACGTATTTTATTTACTTTAATCTATCAGAAATAGTCTCATTTCAATACATAAACAATACAAATTATTGATATTTTTCTCCTAAGTCTTTAAAATCTGATATGTATTTTTCATTTATAGCACATCTCAATTCAGACCAGCTGCATTTCAAGTGCTAAAAAGCCACAGCTGGCTTGAAAAATTGAGGGGGTCACTTAGCAGGGGGAAAATACAATGTGGATAACAGCCTTAGCAAAATGAAGAGCTGAAACGAGAAATTGAGAACAATTTCTTAAAAATTCTCAATGGTCTTGTTAGTGAGAAGAAGAAACTGAGAAAAAAGATACAGTTAAGTCTAAAATACTCTCATAGTCTTCTGAGTGATATGTAACAAAAGCTGTAATGGGAAAACTCTCAAAATATTCAAAAGTCCTCACATAAATAAGAAAATAGAAATGTTACTAAAGATGACAGAAGTATTTCTTTCTTATATTTCTCAACCTTCCTATTGAAGATGATTTCAGAGAGCAACACTCTGAAAGTCCAAGATGAAAGTCTCTGGATCAATAGCACAGGCCCCCAAATCCCATCTCTATAAGCAATCACGTTATCTTCATCCAATTCCGGAAGATACACTATGAAAACATTTCCTCTTCCTTAAAAAGGACTGAAATGAATTAAACAAAAAACTTAATTATTCAAGTTGGTGATTATCGGGTCCTTTGTTTCATTTTCTTCCTGCTTTCAAACTTAAAGACATTTCACTGATTGGCATCATATCCAATAGAAGAAAGTGGGTACAGAGGAAAAAATAGGGTTAGAGGTAGCTTTTGTGGGGAAAGTTTTGGTGGAAAAGTAGATTGTAGCCATGGTATAATCTTATATACTTCATAACTGAAAGGTTTGAAACATCAGTTTTTTCTATTATATTATTATGAATTATTAACAATTAGATTTACATATTCAACATAAATGCCGTCTCACAATGCCAATTTTACCTTCTCATATTAGTTCCGGGCCCGGGGAGGTTGGTAAAACTGCTGGGTGGGCCGAGTGGATCTTCTTGGCTGGCCATCACCTCCTCTACGGAACTCAAGCGTTTGGTCATAGGTGCCTTCTTCCTCCTATTTGTAAAGAGTAGTGAATTAAACATGTTCAGAATAGCTAAAGTTTCCTAAGTTAAATACTTTATGGTGCTGATTTTGATATGCCCTCTTAAGCTGCCCTGGGATTCACATCTGTCAACTTTTATAACAGAGGGAAGCAAGGGGAAGGAAAAAAAAAAAAAAAGCAGGGACATTGTTAAAACTCTTTGGTTCTTGATAATAGAAGAATGAACTTGACAGTGGTAAGATTAGAATCAAATTTAATTCTAGAAGAGGAAACTATTTCCACATAATAGCATGATTATCTCACCAAATGACTTGACACAAGGGGGTGAAATCACAGAAAAGCAAGCATTATAACAAATATTTTCCTGAATATTTGGGCTTCTTAATATTTCTAGGTATTTGTCATGGAAAGGGATTTTGGTAAGATGGAAAAGGGGTTGAAGAGCCAGAGAACGTTCACCAGCTGTCTGTCCTCATCTGATGAAATCTCCAACATCGTTAAGAACCTTACATCTGGAGACAGGAAAAAATAATGGATTGGAATGAGGAGGAAATACAATTTACATATAAAGAAAGCTTCATGCAAGACATAGCAATGGCCACAGTAAGACACAAACCATTTTCTTCTCATTTACTTTCTTACTGAGGGGATAGATCTATCAGCTCAAGGAATAGCATGAAAAATTAGGATAAGCAGATTAAATAGCAGAAAGAATACAGTTAATTATAATATTTGAAAAGAACTTAGAAGCAACAGAAACTTAGCCACAGCCACACTGGTTTCTTACTGAGTGCTGCCACCCTGTTATTTTAGTATTTTTAAATTAAAGCAGCTATGAAGTATGTTCCCTTTTAAAGACAGGAGAAAAAAAAATCCTGGCTCTCAGTTTTGTTTATGAAAGAAACAGCATCTATTTCAAAAGTAGGGTTTAAATTCCAACTGAATTATCAGAGCACAATCATTTGCATGATTTTGGAAATGTATCCCACTTCTTTCTCCTCCTCCTCACATTATCTCGGAACCTTCTTTCCCAAAAGATTGCTTTCCTTTGACCCTATTAATACCATAAGAAGTTATACAAGAGACTGAGTTCTATTCTTCAAATTTTACAGACCCAACTACTGCAATTTTACCTGAGAGAAGCAGAAAGATGCTAAGATAATTTGATCAAATCCTATCATTTAGAAATGATATTTAATATGTGGCACGAACATAACTCTCATTATTAGGCATCCTCCATGGTATTCTTAAGAAAAAACCCATTATTTCCATTTTATACAAAGGACACTGAAGCCCAGGAAAACTTTGTGACCTTGCCCTGATACTTCTAAGGTAAACCTGGGTTTTGATTCAGATGAAACTGCTTAAATCTTTACATCTCAGTCTGCATGTTGAAGAAATAAACCAACAGCCAAAAATTAATGATCATCCTTAGGGCCATCATCACCTAAATAAGAGAATGGAGAAATGTGACAATCTATCAACATCACTCAATAACTACATTTTAGAGACAAACTTCCAGATTAGCTCTGCTTTCTCTATGCCCCTTTCATTAACAATTAGTCTCAAAATGGTTAGAAGTGTCAGGTATTATGTCTATAATTTAGTAAAGCAATTAAATGCAGGAAGAAAAATTAAAAAGTGTTCAGGAAAAGGAAAGAATTATTTTTCATTATTCTGGTTGCTGTTCTGAATGATGATTGTCAAATATTAAAGCTAAATTTGAAAAGGAGCTATTTAATTTTATGACATATGACAACATTTGAAGCTCTGCATTTAACTGAGAAGAATGAAAATATATTTGCTACTGTAGTAGATGAAGTAATTATTTCAGGAATTTGAATTTTTTTTCTCCACACCCAGCTGTAGAACTGGCTAGAGGACATCTAAAAACCTATCCTTTATCAATAAAAAACACTGTTAAAGGTAGGAAACTACATTTGCTGAGGGAGGGAGCTGGACTTATATAATATGGCATTGGTATTTGAAAAGCGGTCTCTACTGTGTTTAAAAGATTCACAGACTGTACTAGCCAGAGCCAATTAAATGGTTTTATAAAGATGACTGACCATGAGATTTCTTTCACATTATTTGATGTCTTCACAATCTTTTTGTACAAAGTAGGAGAAAAAATAAAAATGATTCTGACAGCTTGGTTGGTTTTCAGTTATTGTCAAAGGCATGGTCTGGCTTTTTTAACTTTTAAATATTTCTCTTGCAGAATACTCGGGGGCAAAACTGGTCACCCATAGAAACTACTTCCTATAGTCCATAGCTAGTAATTGTTAGCACTGCGTGAGTACCTCTTTCCATTTTATGTAATACATAGCTCAATTTAATAGACGAGTTTATTTGGAGTCATCTTTTGATGGCATTTATACCTATTTCTTCCTTCTAACTATCTTCTTCCTTTAGGTATTGCTACTCTGTAACAGATGTAAAATTTTAAAAAATTTAAAAATTTTATAGTTCACAAACATTTTAAAAAATCTTGAAAATTAAAAAAACAAAAACAAAAACATTCTGTTTGAGCTGGCATAGTCCTGGAAGGCCATACAGTCTGTCCCTCCCCTTAGATCTGAAAACGAGGAATCTCTAAAGCCTGAGAGGTGAACTCATTTTCCCATATCACAGGGCTTATTCAAGGAAGAGTCCAGACTGGAGTCATTTTGTTTCTGTCTCTCAGGCAAGATACTTTAAAAAACTTGTGATACCTTTCATAAAACGAAACTGACCAATGTCATCTTTATTCAACCTTTGAGATTCAGAACTATTTTATTGGGACTCAGACTTTTGACCACCTAAACCCGGTTTAAAAATACTAAATAACTAAAAATTTGAATATCTATGTGCCCTCTTTTCATACCAATATTTACTAATTTATTGTTCCTTTTAATGAGAAGATACAAAATGCAATAATCATTGTGATATTAGGCATGAATGAAATATTTTGAAGAAAACAGAAGAGTCCCAGCACCAATGCATAAAGGAGATGTACAACTTCATTTATAAAACATGTTCAACAAGTCACAACATCGTTTTGTGAATCACCTTCAGTGTATACTATATCTGGAGTGAGAACACAGACAAATACATACTCCCTCATTTATAAGTGAGCTGTGGTACGAAAGCTCATTGTAAGTCAGTCACTCGGAACCTGGAACATATCTCAGTAAAAGGTACGTAACATTAAATAGCAGTTGGGTTTTCTCATTTTTCAAGGTGAAGTGCAACTAAGTGTACAAACCAGTATTTGAGGGAATGTGCTAGGTCGGCGGTTCTCAACTGGGAGGGATTTTTTTCCCCCATTGTCTGGTGACATTTTTGGCGGCCACATCTGAGGCGTGCTACTGGCATCTAGAGGGTCTAGAGATATTTTTGGTTCTTACAAACTGAGGGGCTAGGGTGTGGGGGAGCTGTTACTACATCTAGGGGGTGGAGGCCAATGATGCTGCTAAGCATCAAAAAAGCCCACACAACAAAAAATCACTGAGTCTTAATGCCAATAGCGCCCAGGTGAGAAACCCTGGTAGGCCAATGAAGGAGGAAGAAACTTCCTACTCATAAGTGCCAGGGCAGCCTGGAAAATAATTCTGAAATTCAGGAAGTTTGGGTTTGCTACCCTTCCACTTTTTCTTTTGGAACATTTCTTCTGCCTCTGTCTCTAAGGCCTGAACTCTGACCCAAATTCTCTATAGAACTTTTGGGGGAGGGAGGGCTCTATTTGCCCATAATGTTACATTTTCCTCTGTTCCAGTGACACATTCATATTATCTTGCCTTAAATTACTTCAGCATTTTCCCATGGCTATAACTCTGTGAGGAGACAATCAGAGATTATTTGGTTGGTGAGAGTGGAGAGAAGGGATGGCCATTCTCTTCATTAAAAACAACTAGAAAAACTTATTAATACTGTCATGTGTCCTTTAATAGCTATTTTGTGTGCAACTTAATGTTTCTTCTATTCAGTCCCTTCTAACAGAATTTGTGTAGTAGTTACAAAAACATAATCCAGTATATGAATTGCATACCGTGTACTCTCAACAATAAGCCTTGAAATTTAGGATATTCTGAATAATGAAATACTCATGGGTAGATATCTCCTTCAGTGATTCACATATGAGCTACTCACTCTGTGAATTTCCAGGCCACCTTTTATCTGCCTCAGGAGCTAGTGTAGTCAGTTTATAGAAATACAAACTGATTTTAATATAAAACCAAAGCAAAAGTTAAAGACAAACTTGCTTTCCCAAAACATCATGTAATAAAGGCGAAACTACGTGGATAATAAAAAGATTAGTGGTTGCCCAGGGTTAGCGGGAACAGATAGATGAACAGGCAGAGCACAGGCAGTAAAACCATTCTGTTTTGATGCTACTATGGTAGATAGGTGTTATATTATACATTTGTCCAAACTCGCTGAATCTTAATGTAAACTATGGACCCTGAGCAATAATGTGTCAGTGTAGATTTATCAGTTACTACAAAAGCACTGCCCTGGTGGGGGACACTGATAATGTGGGAGGCTGGGGGGGCGTGCAGTGCAGGGAGCATAGGAAAAGTCTCTGTACCCTCTGTTCAGAGGTACTGCTCTTAAAAAATCAAAGCCCATTACAAAAAATAGACTGTAAAATAGACCATGTCAGTGGGATACTTTGTGCCTTGTATAGTGCTGATCATATGGTAGGTCCTTAATATTTGATGAAATATTTCTTGATCTGCCTTCTTAAAATGACACATTTTCAATCCATTCAGATTCTTCCTGTGGTTATCAGTAACTAGAATACAACAATTAAATTCCTTTCATCCTTGGGATGCCTAGAAAATTAATTAATGTGTGAAAATCACTTTGAAGTTTACTGAGCTTTCTGAATTGGTTCTAGGTTGTGCTTAATTTTGATTATACCTTGGATATTCATAACATTTCTTCTTTATCTCCACTGAAAAACTCTGACCTTTAATTTTATGTCTCAGTCCAAACAGTGAAATAAGGTACCTCTGCCCCATTCAAA